CTCTTTATTGCTTGTGCTGCATGGTGGGGGAGAAGGAAGGGGGGAAGGGTTACAGGGTTTAGAGGAAAGCACACTTACTATAGTGGGCACCTCATTAACAGCAACATGCATGACTGTCATATCACTGTTTGGCCATTCACAAAACTTTTTTCCAAAATTTTCTGTCCCTGCTTCCTTGTGTTCCCTAAATAAAAACACATGATTTCTCAACAACAGTCTCTTTATTGCTTGTGCTGCATGGTGGGGGAGAAGGAAGGGGGGAAGGGTTACAGGGTTTAGAGGAAAGCACACTTACTATAGTGGGCACCTCATTAACAGCAACATGCATGACTGTCATATCACTGTCTGGCCATTCACAAAACTTTTTTCCAAAGCATCTCTGAATTCCAATATCCCTCATTGTGTTTTCCTGATTGCTGCAGTGTCTGGCTGCCTCAGTCCCTCTACCCTGGCATAAAACTTTCCTCTTTACTTTCACAGATATCATGGAGCACACAGCAGGCTGCCACAATGGGAATGTTGCTTTTGCTGAGCATTAATCTAGTCAATAGATTGTGAAACCTTCCCTTTAAATGTCCAAAAACCCATTCTATCACTATTCTGCACTTGCTCAGCCTGTAGTTGAACTGCTCCTTACTGTGGTCCAGGCTGCCTGTGTACAGCTTTGAAAGACACAGGAACAAGGGGTAGGCAGGGTCTCCAAGGATCACTATTGTCATTTCAACACCTCCAATGTTAATGTTCTGCTCTGGGAAGAAAGTTCCAGCTTTCAGCTTTCTGAAGAGACGAGTTCCTAAAGATGCACGTGTCACGCACCTTTCTCAACCATCCCACACTGGTATCGGGGAAATGATCCTTGTGATTCACCATCAGCACCATCAAGAAGTACCCCTTGCAATTTATGTACTCTTTGGCAAGATGACTGGGTGCCAAAATAGGGATGTACATTCTGTCTATCGCCCCACCACCGTTAGGGAACTTCATTGCATCAGTCTCATCCACCACGACTTGCACATTTCCCAGAGTCACTATCCTTCATAGCAGAAGGGTATTGATTGTCTTCACTACTTGGATCACAACAGCTCCCCTTGCAGATTTCCCCACTCCAAGTTGATTCCTAACTGGCTAGTAGCTGTCTGGCATTGCAAGCTTCTCCAGGGCTATTGCCACTCTCTTCTCAACTGTCAGAGCGGGTCTCATTCTGGTATTGCTGTACTTCAAGGTGGGCAACAGCAATTCACAAACTTCCATGAAAGGGGCCTTATGCATGCAAAAAATTTGCAGCAGCTGCTGATCATCCCATAGGTGCATAACTACTATGCAGTCCCACCAGTCGGTACTTGTCTCATAGCACCAGAAGCAGTGTTTGTGTCAAGAGGATTGAAACCTGCAACTCAAGTGCTTCACAGAAGAATATATTCATGGCTCCCCGAGATTCTTCCTCATTCTGGTGGCCCATGGATATGCTCTGGACCAGTGTTTCTTAAACTTTTTAAGACCGCGGAACACCAAACAATAATTTTTGTTTATGCAGAACACCGGGAGAAAGTTGTTGAGCCAAAAAAAACAATGGTCACGGCCCATTTAATTGCCATGCGTGTTGACCCAACTGAGCTTTCGACTCCGCCAAGGGGCGGGGGGAGTTAAAAGGGGCCATGGTAGACTGCTGACTGTCTTGCAGCACACCAGTGTGCTGCGGCACACAGTTTAAGAAACACTGCTCTGGACATAACTCCAGCATAAGGCACACAGTGGTTAATATGATTGTCACAGCATTTTGCTGCTGAATGGGTACCCTGCTATGGTGTCTGCATGGATAACCATGGGGGGAAAAGGGCACAAAAAGACTGTTTGCCATTGCTTTCAAGTGTGCAGGGAGAGAGGAGATGAGTGCCTTCCGGGACACTGACCAGGGCTGGCCCACAACCATTTTGGCATCTGAGGCGAGGAGCTCAAATGACGTCCCCATGCCTACTTTTCTCCTGCCTGCCTGTTATGTCTCTTGTGCCTTCCTTTCTCCAGCACAGCACTCCACCATCTCTGTGCATCTAGAGCATATGCACCAGCAGCAGACACAATTTTCTACACTCTGGGTCCTAGTGTCCCCTCCCCCCTCCACAGTCTGGCACATGAGGCAGCCACCTCAGTTCACCTCACTGATGATATATACCCAGAACCATCTGCTGCACAGTTCTGGTCCAAGACTGTAGTGGGACCATAATCCAGAATGCAAAGTGGTGGCAGGAACTGTGGGATAGCTACCAACAGTCCATTGCTCTCAAAGTCGACAGTAGCCACCTTACTAGGGACGCACTATGTCAAACTATGTCGAATTCTTTTGCACAGTGAGGACATGCACCTTTGACTTTACAAATTCGGGTGCTAGAAAATTGACCTTAATAAATGTGACTTTATAAATTCGACCAGTGTAGACAACAAGGCCTTAGAAACCAACGGCTATATAATGCCTATATCTGTGCTTAGATGAAGAAGACAGTGTGGGAAACTGACACTTTCCTGGTGCACAAGTTCAGGAGATAATCGTAAGGTAGCTCTAGGAGGAGGTTGGATGTACATGGGGGAAGCTGACCTTAAAGATACCTATGGGTACATTGGTCAGTTATGAAACACCTATGAAGCTAGGCTGATCACGATCTGGAAGAAGCAGAGATTGGCATGAAGCCAGCATGAAGACACAGGACTCCATAAAGTCAGCCTCTAGTGCCATAAATTGCCTAAGAATATGTGAATATTGCAGGAATCTTCAGACTTCAGAGTACAACAATCTTCTCCTTTCTCCCCTTGTTCTTGTGTTTTCCCTTGCTTCCTACAGAGAAATCTGGTGGAAACTCAATGAGAGTGACCTTACAATATTATCTGTCCTCTACATGGGAGAAGTTTACTTGAGGAAGATTGGGTCCAGTACAGTTTATTTTGGTGTAAATGTGGGAAAAGCAAAGATTTCCCCATCTGGTGAGTTGAAATGAGGACACTAATCCCAAAAGATTTCTTGGATGCAAAGTTATCATAGTCTGCTCAAAAAAACATTATGGGCCCAATCATGCAGACATGTAAGCATCTGCTGTGTACATGAGCAGAATTGTGTATGCGTTTATTATTTTAGAATTCATGTCTACACTGCCTAGTATTATTAAACCAATATTGCAGTTTCTCCATCCCATCAAATGTGTTTCTCTAGAGATAGTCATGAAGTTTTTTCTCTTTTCTCTCATTTAAATCAAGATGTTGCTACAAATCTCAGTCTAAACACTTAGGCTACATCTACACTGCGCTGATTTGTGCAAAAAATAAGCAAATGAGACAAAGCGTGGAATATCGCTGTGCCTCATTTGCATAATTAATGAGCGGCCACTTTTGCACGAGGCTTTTGCGCAAGGGCTGTTCTGCTTTTTTTCAGGAAAAACAGCTCTTGCACAAGAGGGGGATTTTGTGCAAAACAAAGCTGTGTACACGGCTCCTTTTTGCACAAAAGCCTCTTGTGCTAAAAGTGGCCGCTCATTAATTATGCAAATGAGAAAGCGATAGTCACCGCTTCACCTCATTTGCATATTTTTTTGTGCAAGAGAGGGCAATGTAGATGTAGCCATACTCTGAGGCCTTGTACTTGGAGCTTGAGTATGCAGAAGGGAAGGCCGCTGTGTGAATGGGCAGTGCTTAAACTTTTGGCGAACTTACTAGTTGTAGGGACTGTGGTGGCACATTAGGGAGCTCCCCGACCCTGCAACCCCGTTCTCAGCCAAATGTGTCTTTCTGTCAGCCAGTAGAGTAAAAATGGGTTTATTGATTCTCCAAGATACATCACAGCGTAAGTTTGACATAGGCATAGGATAGGCTAACAGCCCTAGTTCCCCTAGGGGGACGGGATTCACAGGATAGGTTTGATGTAGGCATAGGATAGGCTAACAGCCCTCGTTCCCCTGGGGGGACGGGATTCACAGGCTCCTGAACCCCCTATACTGGTTTTTAGTCTCCTTCCTCCATGCTTCCCCATACTCTGACTACCCAGCTCCCAGGCCCTGCCCCCAGCCAGGTGGCCACCTCCACCTCCCTTCCTTTGTTTCTCCCTCTATACTCTGACTGCCCAGCTCCCAGGCCCTTCCTGTAGCCAGGTGGCCACCTCCGCCTCCCTTCCTTTGTTTCTCCCTTCCTTTGTTAACTGCTCAGGCTGGGACTAGGTGTCTGAGCCAGTACACATTTGGGTGAGTCAGTGGTAATCACACATCACAGCAGAGCGAGGTGGGGACACTGGATTACAGAGCAGACAGCATGGTGGGAATCACACATCACAACACAGCGAGGTGGGGACACTGGATTACAGAGCAGACAACACACCCACTACGTCACAGGAACCTTGATGCTGCTCATTAAAAATGCTATAGTGTGCTCTGGTGTACTGCTGTTTCAAACAACAGTATGCCAAAACACACTACAGAACCTGGAGTGTACAGTAGCGGGGTCTATGTAGCGACTTAACACATGGTAGGCGTGTGAGCTGTACATTCGCATCCTGGTTTACCACACACTAAGTCTCCAGATAGACAAGCCTCAAGATTGACAACATTCATGAATAAAAAATTAGAAAGATGTTGGTTATGACAGCCTGGGCAGGATGAAATTGGTGATACTTGCTAAAATGAGTGTACGGGTAGCTAATATAGCATGAAGCTTACACCATGAAAGCCTTCTGCTTCTTATTGTTCTATTTCAGTTCTACCTTGCCTAGAATTGACCCTGGGGAATTTTAGTGATCAAAGAGATGTGCCTGCAGTATTCATGAGGCATAATGGAACAACACACTGCTCTTACTCTCCAGGAAACTACCATTCCCCTCAGACTTGAGTTTCATCCTTGCTGCTCTGCAACCTCAGATGCCTTCTGAGTAGAAATAGCTAAGTATGTGATTAAGTCATGGTTTCATAATATGGACTAATGAACTCTGTAGAGAAAGTATTTATTACATTTTTTTGGTCTAAATTTACCTGTTTCTGTAGATAATCTTGTTCGGGTGCTTCTTTTCTCAAAAATCATGGCTAAAGATTTTCCTTGCAACAAAGGCAAATACTGAAAAACAAGAATGGAAGAGGATGTGGAAAGTGCTGCACTGGTTAATGGCTGAAAAAAAATAATACAAATGGTCATTGTGTCAGTTCCAGACCCATACCCCTCCAAAGCAGTCAGGGGAGAGTTTTTGAGAAACCCTTAAAAAATGAGGTTTACAGGTTCTTTCTAAAAAAGGTGTTTTTGTACAAAAAAACCCACGTCTAGACTGCTTGTTTTTGCACGACAGCCTCTTCCGAAAAAAGGATTGGAAGAGGATATGCAAATGAAGCATGAGAAAATGCTAATCAGTGCTTCATTTGCATTTCCTCTTTCAGAAGAGGAAAGCAGTCTAGACAAGCCCTGAGATTGGTAGGGGCAAAAAGCATCTATAGGTTTTTTTGTTTTGTTATTTTAAACAAATGAAAGAAACTTCTGACTCTTTTCTTGCTCCCACACTACATACAGAATAGTGTTCCTATTTCTGCAAATCTTTATTTCAGTGGGTAACCCAATTGAAATCACTCCCACACTACATACAGAATAGTGTTCCTACTTCTGCAAACCTTTATTTCAGGGGGTAATCCAATTGAAATCATGGGGAATATCCAATAACAGGGAATTATATGACTGCTGATAACAAAGGGCACACACTTTTATAACAGCATAAATCCTCTACTTCATCCAAAGAGCAAAACTTTGCCTTTTACTGGATGGCTGATGTAAAATTTACAATATTTAAGGGTTGAAGTGGTTGTTTAGAACAAGCCAGTTTAGTTGCTGATTTGCATTATCTTGTAAAATAATCTTTATTTTGTGATCTGAATGACTGAACAAGCAAAGTGGATTTTAATTGAAATTTTACATACCTCTCCCTTGTACTTTATTCTTTGTTTCAAATCTGATGCTGTCCATAGCAAATACTTTATTTCTTCTGCTGTATAATTTTGTAGAGTTAGAAGGTCACGACCTTTCAGATTAACACTAGTTTGAGTTGGTTGCCCGGACCTGCACCAAAAACAGGCTCCTTGTCATATGGATTAATTGGTTATTCATGTGAAAGCTAATGTTCAAGCAGCTAAACCTCTTTCACTGCTACCATTTGATCCAGAGAAATAATTTGCATGGCCTGTGATAATTACTTTGTGACATTTCTTCCCACACAGCCACAATACTCCCTGGTTTGCTATATTATTCACCATGGTAACCATCTCTCTTTTTATCATCAATGAACCTGATTTTGTTTCTTATAACTTCTAATATTTGTATCTGGGCTATGTAATCAAATAACCCAAATGCAGAAACCCATTCAGGGACTGGTTAAACACTTAAAGTTGCATAGTAGCTTGCTTTGCACAGGTGTGCAAAGTGTTGGGGCAAGATGGCTCCCAGAGCTCTTTTTCATAATCTCAGCTCTGGGGCACTGGCACAGGACTAGGCATATGGGTATAAATAATGTTTCATTTGTGAACCACATGCACAAATTTTCAAATTCATTTCCAGAAACTGATATTGCCAATAAGAGAATCCAGCAGCACATTGCTCAACATTTGATGAGGGGGTAGGTTTGAGGGATATTTTTGCTGGGCTTATTCCAAAACCAAATGAAATGCAATGTTCATAGTCTCCCACAGAAGTGACACTGCAAAGTTCATATTACCTTAGATGGCACATGACTTGATCAAACAGCAGAGTAAAGTCAATGTTCCTATCATTTTAAACCAATTCGTGAAGACAGAGAGCTAATTTAACCCTTTCTCTGCTAAACAGGGATCAATTATATCTGTAACTCTCTTTATTGTAATGCAACTTGTACTTCACTAGTAATGAAGTTTAGAAGGTCATAAGCAGTGTTACCTATGAGGTATGTGCTTGGGCAGTCACCCAGAAGATATTCAAATACCGCCCACCTGATTAGCAGAGTGCCCACAGCCACCCACAACAGGGAGCATGTGTTTCTACTGGTTGCACATCTGCTCATGTCTTGGTGCACATAACAAAATGTATTCCACACATGGACAGAAAAATAAGCCAAGTATGCCATTCTCATTAACTGCAGTGACTTTAATTAGATCAGAGTGGAAACTCCAAGAGGAATAAAGAAACAAATGAATTGAGTTGGTGGGATTTTATTGGAAAATATTTCCAACTTCAGTTCCTTCCTGTGTGAGCCTCAAGCCAATGCCCAGTTGTGACTGTTTCCATTTGACAAGTCTCTGAGGCCAGCTCTTTGCTAGGAAATTTCACAAAAACATTCCCAGGGGTGCTACGAGCAGTTGCTGACTGTTTCCATTTGACAAGTCTCTGAAATTGCTAGGAAATTTCACAAAAACATTTCCAGGGGTGCTACAAGCAATTGAGCTAAATGGGAGGACTGTGCTATATGAAACTCCGGTGACTTCTGCTGTCTTTACCATCACATCTTTTCCTATAAATTCCCTGGCATAGGCAGGACATGGAACTCTGCACGCTCAAGAGTCCAGACCTTAACACTGTGGTACCACACACAGTTACCACGGTCCTTAAATTTTCATATGCATATACTACAGCTCTCATCGTTTGTCACTTTTTCAACCCAAGAAGCAGTAATTCTCCCTGTAGCTGAAAATATTCATTGTTAACACTGCTTTATTACTGGACCCTTGAAAAATATCTGCCCCACCAGCTAAATTCTGTCCCCAGCTCCTTGAGCACCCAGGGCTTCTCTGCAGTGGAAATGATGTGATAGCTGCACAAGCAGGAGCACGATGTGGGGCGGTTGCCCTATGTGGTATAGAGCCCAGCCTATTGGCAGTCACTATATGCTTTCATACAAAGAGGTGCTGGGCTGTAGGGAGGTGCTGGCTCACCACTGGATCCACTGCTAAGATAACCTCATTCTTATCCCCATGGGCAAGGAACACTATCCCCAAAGAGTCTGCATGAATCATTAAAGATATATGCTGCAAACTTGCTCCCACTCAAGTCAATTGCACAACTCCCATGGATGTCAGTGGGTGGAGGATCAAAGAGATTCCACTGAAGTTGGCACAGGAATTTCAATTGAAAACTCTCCTTTTTAATAAGATGTAGAGTTTACACATGGTCAGAAGCAGGCCTGCTGACAGGGAGAGAAAAGGGAGCAATTGTCCCAGGCCCTGGTGTTTCAAAAGGGCCCGGTGCTCCCAGCCACAGCTATTGCAGCAGCAGCAGTGCCTGGAGCCTGTGGTTGGCACTCCGGGCAGCTCTGAGAGCTGGGGTGGGCATGTCGTGGCCCAATAGCACTGAGGACTAGTTGATCCAGCCCCGCTCCTTCTGTCCGAAGCCCCACCCCTTTCGAGAGTATGGAGCCACCCCTCCCACATCTTGGCACAGGGCCAGTAAGGCTGTCAGCTCCCCGGTCAGAAGTGGTCAATACTATGCACTGGCATCTATGTCTGATCCTGCACACATTCTACACATTCCCACTCAACAACTGTTGACATCAGAGAGTTTTGCATATGAAATAACTGCACCATCAACCTGGGAGTTCCCCCAGCCTAAAAAAATAACTGTGACGTTTGTTTCAGGAGACATGTGTGGCATAGAGACAAGGAACAAGAGTAGTCTAGGGTGATCATATTTGCCAAAGAGAAAATGGGACACCCTGTGGGGCTAAACTTAGCCCTCCTCTCCCCTCGACCATGGGTCTGGCTTGTGCCATTCACCCAAGTCCCCCTATTCCTCCTATGTGGGGCTGGCCCAACTACCCATCCCTGCACCAAGCTGGTGTTACTGATTGCAATCCCATTTGCCCTTTCTGCACGAGGCTGGAGCTGGCATTACTGCTCACTCGAACTCTGCCCATTCCCCTCCCAGAGCCCTGCCTCCAACTCTGTGCAGGGCTGGCCTTGGCCCCCTCACATTTATCCATACCCCACTTTTTTGACAGAAGTGGGCATTTATTCCATTTGCTCCTGCCAACTGACATTGCTTAGAAAAGGGGCTATCACAGCTAAAACAGGATAGATGGTCACTTTAGAGTAGCCCATATTATTTTTGTAATCTGGCACTAATAGGTTGTAACAGGATGGAATCTTCGTAAGCATTGGCATAACTGTGCAAAGTCAGTAGTAAAACACTGACTTCCATAGGAGCAGAGTAAGGCCAATCTCGAGCACTTTTGGAAACCTCACCCATAATTATTTTACATTTGCTTAGTAACAAACATCTGTTAGTTGTATTTTAGTAGCTCTGAGCCAGGTTTACAAAAAGAGGCATCTAAAGACATTCATAGTAAAGCTGGTTGAAAATTTTCTGACAGAACACATTTCCTCCACAAAATGCTGGTTTGTGGGAATTGAAACATTCTGTGGGATAATGCTAAATCCATTAAAACTTTCCATAGAAACCAGCCTGCCTAGTTTCCCACCAGCTCAGGCTCCCCAGTTCATTGAGCAGTTGCGCAGCTTTCTAGACAGCGGGGCTATTTCAGGATACTGGAAATGTTCTAAAATATCAATTCCGCATCTTTAAATGCACCCATTATTTTGAAATATATTTCAAAATAATGGGTGCATTTAAAGATGCGGAATTGATATTTTAGAATATTTCCAGTATCCTGAAATAGCCCCGCTGTCTAGATGTAGCTGGAGTTGTCAGGCAACATAATGAGTTAGCTGCCTTAGGAGTCACCAGAAATAAGCTTACATTTCTAATATCTGGTTCTCTCAGAAGGAATTTTTTAGAATTTTCCTCTCTGGAATTTTTTTTTTCCCGCTTTGCTTTGACTTGAAATATTTTTTTTTCTCCAAATCATGGTCATTTTCCACTGGGAGGGAAATTCTATTTTCTTGCCAGCTCTAGCAGTCAGTCTTGTTGTGTGATATACAAAAGCACTTAGCTCTCATGATTAGGAGATTTTGTAAATCCTACTACATGCCTAACCATATATGTAGATGCCTAAATCCCTTTGGAAATCTGGATCTTTGAAGTTCACAAAGTTTATTAAACTAATATATTCTAATTTTTGAATCTAGATATATCTACATAAATATATGTAGTGTTATCCTTAGCAGAAGATTTCTGAAGGGGTGGGTTTTGTGGGTTTTCTAAGTCTATTTATACATTCACCTAGCAAAATTTAAAAGTAAAATACAATAAAAATATAGCAATAAAATAAAATTTCAACTAAGAAAATCACCCAAAGCCCTCAACATTATCCTTGGAACCAATACAGGTATGATATAGGCAGCAAAATTATTTACTTGCATTTGTATTCAAGTACTCAAGTTGATTTTAGAAGATACACACTGACATACACCTGAGTGCTGAAGGGCAAATATGAGCCTTCGTATATTTTGGGTAGTTTTCACAGCCTCATGAAAAATAATATAGTAAGGCAGACTAAATAAAATTAAATGTGATTCCACGTCTAACTTCCATCAATATATCCTGCAACGAAACTTTATTTCTTAATTGTTTCCATTTTTTTAGATTAGGGCAGAGGAAGCAGGACAGTGAGCTACCATAACTGAAATATAAAGATTTGACTTTTTTCGTCTGGATACCTTTAGGGAGCAATGGAAATATTCAGATGTTAGACTCCAGATTTTTAGCAGAAAGCCTAATGTTAAATGTCTCCCAGATTTGGGGCCCATGCATTAGTTCTATGTCTGCATCTCTGCAACCTCTTGCTGATAAGTCACTCCACTCTCCCTCACTGAGTTGTCACTAATATTTTATTGTTTCTATCCCTGAAATAATTTCAGTCTAATTCTCTATAACCTCTACTGCTCTTCAAAATGTATTAGCTATGGTCTTCAGCAATTAGTTCCTTTTAGGGCTACCAATGTATTTTTCAAATGAAGCATAACTGACCGAATAAATAGTACTGGCAATTAGTATACAGGGAAGCAAAAGTAAAATATAACATGAAAAATCATAAGCTAAATAGTTTTCCTCTTTTTTGAATGGGAATGGCAATTTCCTTAAGATTACTGACTTCCTGGAGGCCTAAACCCTCATTTGCTTAGCTGGCAGTGATGAACACTTATGGTGATATCTTAAGACAGTAATTGTTATGATAATATAATCTCCTTTATAAACTGATTTATGGCTAAAAAAGGGAGTCTATAAAAATAGCATAGGGAGCCCAATTGAGTTAGGCAGCCACATCTGAGAAAGGAGAGCCACTGTAATTATTTCACCATAATGACTTCTATAGCAAGTTTACTAACAAAAGCAAGATTTTGCTAGTCACCAGCAACACAAATTCAAAGCTGGGCTACTAGGGCACATATACAGAACAGGACTAAAGCTGAAATAAGCTATGTCAATTGCGTAGCTTAAGTCAAAATAGCTTATTTTGGCTTTTGTTGCTGTCTACACAGCAGGAAGTCAAAGGAAGAACACTCTTCCTCCGACTTCCCTTTCTCCTTGTGAAATGACGGTTACAGGAGTCACAGTAAGAAGTCCTCCAGCTCGACATTATGTCGAAATAACTGCTTATAGTGTTGCTGTGGACTATGTTATTTCAGAATACAGGCAGTCCCCGAGTTACGCGGATCTGACTTATGTTGGATCCGCAGTTACGAACAGGGCTTTTCTCGCCCCGGAGGACGGGAATGGCGGGACGCCCAGATGAGCTGTGGTCCCGCCACCCACGTTCTCCGGGGCGAGTAAAGCTGCTCCCCGTCTCCCTGGTCTGCTGGTCAGACCAGGGAGACGGGGAGCAAAGCCGCGGAGGACGCCCGCAGCGGGACAGCCCAGGTGCGCCGCGGACCAGCACAGTAAGCCCGAGCAGAGTTGCTCTGCCCCCGGCTTCCTGGAATCAGCCGCTGATCCGGTTCAGCAGCAGCTGACTTGGGGGCGCCTGGGGGTCTTAAGTTGGAT